TTTTTTTTTTTTGCTTCATCTTAACTGTAGGTTGTTTGAATTTTATGTCACTTTATTCACTGCCGTTTTTGCAGTGAACTTTTTTTATTTTGATAAAGACTAATTATTTCAAATCACAACGCAAAAAACTGCTCGTTCATTTAGCAATTTGCTAGTTATTGGAGCTAAATGGAAAGCAGAATTTTTCGCAGTGCAAACAAAAGAGATTTTCATATTTGCTGTAGAAAATTTACCTTTGTAAGTATGGGCATAATAATGGTTTTTTATTGAACAAATTTGTTTCTGTTAAGTTTTTAATAGTGCGACAGGAAAACAGAAAGGAAAATGGGAATGACATTACATCGTATAAACGTTGCATGATTACTATTGTTCAGTTGTCGTCTCCTCATCTGAAAACAGACGAAGTAAACGTTAGAAAGTTACTGTTTACAATAAATATTTCTTTATATTTATAGGAAGATGGATTACCTAAAAGATAAGGATGCAATTTTTCTTACTTTTCTTTTCTTCTCATATTTCATGTTTTATTAATTTAGAATCATTTTACTACAGTTCACCGTGTTCCTTTGCAGTTGATGTTTCACCTATTTTTTTTTTCTAAAATTAGTGTCAGGAGCATCGGTCTGTCCGCCGACAGCAATAATGCCCCTCAAACACCAAAATTAGTGTGGAAGAGTTGTTTTTAGTACGAAAGATAGCTTGTTTTTGCGCAGCTTGGAGGAATTTTGTCATACTCTTCTCGTTGTGATTTATATATTATATATTCCATTCTCCAAACATAAGTAAATCAGAATTTTTCAAAAAGAGATAATTGATGCAGTCTTTGACTTTTTGTCTTCGGATAGAATTAAACAAGTAAATCACAGCGAGAAGAGTATGACAAAATTCCCCCAAGTTGCGCAAAAACAAGCTATCTTTCGTACTAAAAACAACTCTTCCACACTAATTTTGGTGTTTAGGGGGCATTGTTGCTGTCAGCGGACAGACCGATGCTCCTGACACTAATTTTAGAAAAGAAAATAGGTGAAACATCAGCTGCAAAGGATAACAGTGAACTGTTGTAGAATGATTCTAAATTAATATATGTTATATATATGTATATAAATTTACATATATAATATATATACATATATATACTTTTCTTTCTAAATGTCACAGTGGAAAAAGGCCTGCAGCTGATGTCTCATTACGAGCTCCAAACTTTTCCTTTACTGTCTAAACCTCTTTTTCCGTTGTCAACGTCTGAAGAGCCTTGTATTACAACGCTAAAGGTCGCCCACTACTCAGGAGTTGCCCTTTTAACTTTAATAATCAAAACTTGTAGACTTTATCGTTTTTTAGGAAATTGACTAGTCTTCATGAGTTACTTTGATAAATTTTCGGACAGTAGGGTTTTTTTCGTGGGAGCGGAGCATAGAGGGAAGGACAGAATTATATTTTCCTCTAGTCTCTTAAATTGATATTTTTTTGTTCTATTCTTTCGCGGACATGTTTTTACGCCGTTGGTCATCTGATTCCTGTAATTTGAATTTTCAGTCTCCTCAGAGTTCTATAATTTAAGCATTCACATAATGATTCATGAAAAGAGCCAGTTCTGCTTGAAAACTGATGTAGATCAGAAGTACCCTGCTAGGTACTGAGACCGTACACGGCTAGGCCTTCTAAAAAACCGAAGTAACCTAGGATTAAGCAGTACCAAGGAGTTTTCGTCGATTAATTGGCACGTTGCCAATTTTAGCTTTTTTTTCTAGATATGAATCAAAAGAAAGGTTGTAGATGAAAATGAGTCCTTATGTTAGTCGTCTTTGCTTGAACTGGGCTTGTGTGTACGTTCAGTTGCTGTGCACTCTAATCAAATATTCACTCAGTTATGCTCTCGACTTTATTCTGCTCCAGTTCTCAAACGTACAGGTTTAAAAACAGTGGTTGATGAAAGTTTTTGCAGGTTACATTATGCTGTTTTTTCGTAGTTTTCGTTTTGACAATCTGTTCT